ACCCAAAACAGAGGACGTAGGTGGTATTTATCTCTTCACGTCTCTTTATGTTTCAAAATAACTGACTTTCAGGAAGAACCACAACTGAAGCTGTCCCCAACATCACTCAGAGGGAACCGGGTGCAACGAGACGCTATGGGAAAGTGAAAAGAAAGAAAGAAAGACGGGGGGAGGAAAGCACGGATGCAGAGCAGAGCCAGGAAGGGGACAGGGCTGGAGGGCGCGAGGGTTCCAGCAATAACAAGAGCTGACGTTTGTTACATGTTAATTACACGGTATTGTCTTTTGGAGGTTAAATCAATCAGAAATTTCCTGCACAGCTAATAAAACTGGAACCCATCTGTGGTCTGCCAAGTCACGTTAGACGCTGTCTCAGGACAGAGTCAGAATGCTCAGGCTTTCATTTGTTCTGGGCAGGAGAAACGAGAAACCACTTCTTCAACTGAATTAGGATTTGTCAGTGCTGTCCGATAGCGTGCTCATGGTAGTAAAAAGTGCTGTTACAGCCGCCACTTACTGAAGGCGTTCTATGTACCAGGTGCTTTTCTAAGCACCTCACAATAGACTCTTACTTGTTTGAAACAGAATCTGATTCAGTCAATTGTTATTATCTCCATTTTAGAGAAACGGAAACTGGATCTTAGAGACATGGTGTAAGCACCCAAGATCATACAGAAGGTAAACACCACGCTTAGACCTTGAACCCACGTTTGTCTCACACAAAAAGCTCAGGTTATACCTAATATACTCCAGTGCACACATTTATGTATCCAGCTAATAACAGATGATTTCCACTAAACACCAGTGAGACACTTTTTAAGGGCAAAATCTTATAGTTTATCTACTTAAAAAATGTTGATTTCTATGACTGTTTTCTATGATCTCCTTGAGAAGGAAATGGCAACCCACTCCAGTATTCTTGCCTGGAAAATCCCATGGACGAAGGAGCCTGGTAGGCTACTGTCCATGGGGTTGCAAAGAGTCGGACACGACTGAGCGACTTCACGTCACTTTCACTTTCTATGATTGACATGATCCCTCCCAAGAGTGAAGTTGTTTTGAATACTTAAATTATAAGTCCCTCATGAAACATCCTGTTGCTTTCTTTATTGAAATAATTTACAGATGGTCAATACCACATTCATGCAAGATTAGATGAGCCATAAGTGGTTTTAACTAAAGTTATCTCTTTACTAACTAACACTGGTTTGAGTGAGATAATCAGAAAAGGAATGGCTGGGACACACATTGGCTTTTGAGGTCTATCTCATGAAAACCAAGTCACAGATCCCCAGATTCGTGTTTGTTCGTTTTTTAACTATTTTAAAGTTTAACTCTTCTAAGAATTACTTTTTGCTGATTCTCTGCACCAAAGGCTCCATACTCCTTCACCCTGTAATGCTTCAAACTTCATGATGTATCCTTGGTTTAGTTCAGTTCAGATAAGTTGTTCAGTCGTGTCTGACTTTTTGCAACCCCATGAACCGCAGCATGCCAGGCCTCCCTGTCCATCACCAACTCCCAGAGTCCACCCAAACCCATGTCCATTGTGTCGGTGATGCCATCAACCACCTCATCCTCTGTCGTCCCCTTCTCCTCCTGCTCTCAATCTTTCCCAGCATCAGGGTCTTCTCAAATGAGTCAGCTCTTCACATCAGGTGGCCAAAGTTTTGGAGTTTCAGCTTCAACATCAATCCCAACAATGAACGCCCAGGACTGATTTCCTTTAGGATGGACTGGCTGGATCTCCTTGTAGTCCAAGGGACTCTCAAGAGTCTTCTCCAACACCACATCTCAAAAGCATCAATTCTTCGGTGCTCAGCTTTCTTTATAGTTGAACTCTCACATCCATACATGACTACTGGAAAAATCATAGCCTTGACAGACCTTTGTTGACAAAGTAATGTCTCTGCTCTTTAATATGCTGTCTAGGTTGGTCATAACTTTCCTTCCAAGGAGTAAGCGTCTTTTAATTTCATGGATGCAATCACCATCCGCAGCGGGTTTGGTTTAGTTAGGGCTAAGCAATTAAAAATGCCAACAATTAATTTATTGCACTATGCTTTATGACCACATCAATTGTTAGACCAGCCTCAGATTCAGAGATATTAAAATGTAAGGAACATGTCTATCCTGGAATCCATAAAATATATTTACATGTTTGTTTTCTTCCCCACCCCTGACATGTCTAAATACTGAATCAATAGGGTAAATTAGCATATTGACTAGAGTGAAGCTAGAAAGTGTTTAATTTTGGATTTTAAAAGATGATCATGAGGGTGGAAATCTCTGTCTTAGAAGGGTTTTGAGGACACAGAATTATTTCTGTTTACCAAAAGTGGGATGATGAAGGTCCTTGTCAATTCTTGTTCATTCTGCTGACTACTTCCATTAGGGAGAGAGTCAGAGATGCTCAGTTAAAAAAAAAAAAATGGAATTGCTGTACTTCATTTTCATTTACTTATTTATTTTAATGTCATATTTTCAAGACTTCTAATGCCAGAAACAGGTCTTTGAGATCAAAGGAAATACTTTGTGAAAACTATCTCATAGCTACAAAAATTAAAGCCCCATTTTGGTAAGATCAACTTACCAAAGGTTATTGTTGTTACTGAGGTTATCTGTTGCCTTTTTGAAGGCTGATGTCCTAAATAAATTCTTGTCAAGGAGAAACAGTTGACATATCCCCAACTGCCTCTCATGTTTTGTCAGTCTGGCCCCCTATGAATCAGCCACGGGTTGCTTTCTCATATTCCCTCGAGGCCCAGGCTGACTTGGCCCCATCCTTCCTCCTTTGTGGGGACTGGCTTCCAGCAACCCGACAACTACAGAGGCCCTTTAATTGGCTGCCTGATAAATGACACGCTGTATTCTTTTTACGGGGATAATTCCCAGGCACCCGATTGGCTACATGGAAATGACAGTTACCGGAGGATTACTGGCCAGGCTAGAGCCTTGCTTATTAACCGACACAGGTGGGACTGGTATTTGTCAGCCTAAATTTCCTTCTGCATTCATCTTTGTTGTTGTTAGCAGACCTCTGGCTCACATCAAGATGTTGAAAGTGAATTCTTAAGCACGCACCAAGCCCGAAACTTGGTTTTTCTCCTAGGCAATGCTGTTACAGACAAGAGAGAGGGGGAAAATCTGCACCATTATCCAAAAGAATCAAGGCTCCAAAACTGATAAGGAAAAGTCAGTTCTGAAGACACGGAGACAGGGAGTTTAATAACATAAGCTTTCAGATAACTAGACATGTAAATCCCAAGGTCAAAGTGATTGTGTCACTGTCGTGACACCACCAGAGGATCAACCCAGTCTTGACATTTCCTTTTAGATCACGTGCTTGAAGACACTTGTCTTTTTCCTCTGGGACAAGCAGAAATTCGCTCATCAGGAGGTAAAGAGTTTTTGCTCGTCTGCTTACACAGATTATGGCCTGTTTTTCTCCCATTTCTAAGGATGAAGTAGTTTGACACATCTTATTGCTGTAATACTATCCACCACTATTATACTTTCTTTTTTTCTAAGCCTATCATATACACTTTGCCTTCCAGCAACTGACAATATCGGTTTTACATGCATGCATGAAGGGCAACTAAAATTTTGGCAAGAGGTTACAAGTGAGCTTTTTTAGAAAAATTTTTTCCATTTGGAGGAGGATGGCTTTGAACTATTTCCACAGTTCCCTTTAAAGCAGGCATGTGTGTGGCTTGGCCGTGACATAAACTAAATGAGCCCTATGCACGCTTTCCACGAGTGTGTGCGGCTCGTCTAGGGTCTGGCCCCCATCTGCGAGTGTGTCATCATGACACACGAGGCCGCCAGCACCTTGCAAAGTGCTCGGCCCTCCTTTATGATCGCTTCATCATTCCAGGGAGGCGAAACGCCATTGTGAGGATCAATGTTAAATTATACATTTAAGAAAACAGATTCTTAAGCAAAACTGGGGAAAGAGCCAAATTTGACTGACGCCCACTCAGTAATATTTTGGTGCTTCAGTTACTCTTGCTTTTGACACTTAATTTCTTCCATTTCACAGCGTCCCCATGACCATTTAAACTAGTCAGAGTTCTTAATTGCAGTGCCTTGTCTGGGATGCTCTCTTTCAATATTACTGAAGTTCGAAAGTCTTTCTTGACACTTCTTTGGTTCATTCGACCTCTTCCTTCGAATCAGATCTGAAGTTGCTGTATAGCCTAAGACTGAGGGCAAGAGGAGAAGGGGGTGACAGAGGATGACATGGCTGGATGGCATCCCTGACTCAATGGACATGAGTTTGAGCAAATTCAGGGAGATAGGGAAGGACAGGGAAGACTGGCATGCATGTGGTCCATGTGGTCGCAGGGAGTCAGACACGACAGCAGCTGAGCAACAATAGAGGCGGAATAGCAACCTGATTAAATATATCTGCAATGTTACATGAAAAATGATAAGTCGTGAGTTATTCATGCAGTTTCACCTCTATTTCCTGAAGTACTCCTATTTCCTCTATTCCTGCCTGGCTTCTCTGAAGACCTTTAACATTAGCTCTAATTCTCTTCTTTCCTTGAAACCTCCGGTTCCCCAGCATGGAGAGCTCTCACCTCCTTCTGAGAACCAGAGGTGAGAGAACCATTTTTTTACGGCTTTACGTAGATGGTGCTATAAAGGGTATAGGGCTTCCCTGGGGCCTCAGGCGGTAAAGAATCTGTCTGCAATGCAGGAGACCTGGGTTTGATTCCTGGGTTGGGAAGATCCCCTGAGAAGGGCATGGCAACCCACTCCAGTCTTCTTGCCTGGGAAATCCCATGGACGGAGGAGCCTGGCGGGCTACAGTCCATGGAGTCGCAACGAGTCGGACAGGACTGAGCAACGAACACATTTACTTCATTCTTCACAAACATTATAATTAGCTCTCCACTCTGTTACACATTCTGTTCTCTCCAAATATAACAAAATGTATAAGCTCTACATTCTTAGAAGGTAGACGTCACAGTCATTAGAACACAAGGGATGGAGCTGGGAAGATCAAGGATCGAAATTTTCTCTGGGGTTTTCTAATTGTGTGACGCTATACAGGTTATCATTTCAGAATTGCTTTTATGGAAAATATTTTAAAAATCCCGTTTCAGGAGCACGGTCAGTGCCTAAAGAAGCTACCGCCTGTAACTGCTTGGGGAGCTGCTAAGCACTGCTCTGTGCAGTGAGCGCCGGCCCCGGCGCATCCTCCTGTCCACAGCGCATGGCTCCGGTTTTACTGTCGGCCAGCGAGAGCTAGCTTTGGACTGATGCCGCAACCATGGGTTTCTCCTACCCTCTCTCTCTCTTTCTCCCCAGGAACTTCTTTATGTTAAAAGCTAGCCTGGTTCTCAGTAAGTCGAGCTCTTTATAAGGAAACGTGTGCCGTCAACTTGAGGGGTGGATCAGGCCGCGCCCAGAATTCAGCAGCGGACGGGGCTGGGGGGAGGTCCCCGTAGGGATCCTGCCGTCCAAGGTGGAGATCCAGCCCCTTGCAGCCACTTTGGAACATGAGGGCTGAAGAAGGACCGGAACGTAACGCGCGGCTCAGCGCTGCCAGCGGGCTGCCAACTCGCCCTTTCTATGATACAGTAACCCAGGGCTGGCACAGAGAGGACGCCCGTAAGGCAAGACCCCCGTAAGTAAGGTGGTGGGCCCGCACCGCGGGCAGGGCGTCTGCTGCCCCCTCCAGCCCCGGGGCCCCTCTCCGCTCTGTGCCGGGCTAGGCTCTAACTGAGTCTTGCGCGGGGTGGCTGTGCTCTGGGAGGCCTTTCTCCGAGGCACCTCTAGAGGGCAGGGTAACTCCCCTCCTCTGGTTCGCAGCTAAGGGCAAGGGGCATGCTGCAAGCTGGAAAGTTAATCTGTTCTATGCAACAGCAGCAGGACTCGGGATTCAAAATTTAGTTGCAAATAAATAATTTTTTTTTTTAAATTTCAGTTGCAAATAATTTAGACCCAGTATAAACTGATTAACCCCAGCGCCTAATACTTACAAAGTGCCTACTTTTTCTGTTGGCACAATTCTGCAACTGGACGCGATGCTCGTTAAATGGATCTCCACTCTTCAACAGTCAAAAGCTGACCTCTCTTCTCAGGTCAGCTGTGAGAGTAATTTAAGAATATGCTGCTTTATTTAAAAGAAATGTGCTTTGTTTCATTCATAAAGGGGTGCTAAAAATTGTATCCTTATTTGATAACTACATTTTAAGATTTTAATGAAAAGCATCCTAATTTTGCGGGGCAAATTCAGTTTTCATATCACTGTTACATATACAGATTTAAAATCTGTATTTTAAAATCATTATTTTTTAACTTATACATACACAGAAGCACAAGTGTAACTTTAGTCACTGAATATTTATACTTACTAAAACTAATGTTATACTAAACTGAAGAAAGGTCTGCTCTAAGCCCGTTTTATCATTTATAAATAAATAATATTGGTGCATTTCTCATATGGTTGCTTTAGGAATAAAATAAGACAATCTATGTGAAGCACTTTGCACAGTGCAAGCACCCAATAAGTATCAGTTATTATTAAAAAAGACCAAATTTTGTGGCACAATACTCTTAATTCTTTTAACAAGGCATTTCTTTATTACAAAGAGGCATCTGATTCTCATTATCCTAATATTTTGGGTGTCATTTACTGATTTTATTTTTTTTAGTCGCTCAGTCATGTCCGACTCTTTGCGACCCCACGAACTATAGCCCACCAGGCTCCTCTGTCCATGGGGATTCTTCAGGCCAGAATACTGCAGTGGGTTGTCATTCCCTTCTCCAGAGGATCTTCCCAACCCAGGGATCAAACCCGGGTTTCCTGAATTGCAGGTAGATTCTTTACTGTCTGAGTTACTAGGGAAGCCCCTCAGACATATACAGGTATAGGACTCATAAGGAATGATTTGCAAAATAGGTAAGAGTGTCTCCCATTAGGAACACACACACACACACACACACACACACACACACAGATCCCAAAGTGCAAAAATTTTACCGGACCAACCTGAATTATGTCAGTGACGTGGAGATGGGAAACTGTATAGAATTTTTTTTTTAAACTACATTTCAGTAATATCAGTGCCAATATATTGATATAAGACTTTTTAAATTTTTGAACAGAATATATATTTCTATCTGGGCAATTTTATCAAATTCAGAATATTGTTCATGAAGGAAAGATGGGATCTTTGAAACTAAAGATCTGAAGGATAAAGGAGATGGATATCTTCTACATGTTCTTCTGTCAATCCCACCTGCCGTTCACGAAATCAGATTCGTCCTCGAGATGCTGTTGATACATAAGAAGTGCAGTCGTCACCTTACCCTCATCTCCATCACCGAGAAGATAAAGAGCATCTTAAGTTAAGAGAGGCTCTCTGCAGCCCTCCCCCAGGCCTTCCTCAGGTGCGGCCCCTTCACCCCCGGAGCCGACAGTGGATGGACGGGTACATAGGGAGCTGATTTTTAATGCCGGGACCTCTGGTCTCATCTAATTAATGTGTGAAACTCCACTTTCCTAAAACACTTTCCTTTGCTCACAGCTTTTGACATATACGATGAATGTAAATTTATACTGTCCTTAGCCACTGGAAACAACACAAATGAAGAGCTTGATGACTTATCAGTAAAAGAGTCAGGGCAACAGAAGGCATTGGCTTTCTGATAAAAGACACGAGTGAGAGCTATTTAAGAAGACACAGCTCAGAGCTGATGGTGTGAGGACAATACCCGTATCTTTCAAGACTGCATTTCTGGTTGCTGACCATGTCTGTCCAGTTTCACCTCCTATCTGTCTTGATACCCTCCTACCTTCAGTCCAGGCCACTCTTCTAGCCTGTGATGTGCAGACCCCCACAGGTACACACGCCCACTGCACTGATTTCTATGGGTGTTCGGGGCAGGCTTACGTGATTTGTGGCTTTGGCGGCCTGACTTGGGTTTTGCCCTTGAGAAAAACTTGGGTTCTGACGTGTGTATCTAGTAAATGAAGCATGTTAATGGCATAATTGGTACACAGTGGATCATGCTGTAACCCTAGACCGCACAGACACCTCAACACTGAGATGACTTAGAAACAGCACGTTGCACTTCGCCTCTGGTGACCCCTTCCCCCCACACTGAGCCTCCCCTCCCGGGCGAGAGGTGCAGGGTTGAGGTTGTCCGGGCTCTTGATGGTAGCGTCTGCTCCAAGCACACGTAATATGCTTACATAATAGAAACTGTGGGCTATACCTGAAGTGAAAATTATCGTCCTGGAGATGAGCTTTGCCAGGCTCCTCCCTCTCCTGGGGGGACCACTGCTTCAAAGCAGAGAGAGGCTCTGGGAGGTGTGAGAATATCCATTTCACTCAGCGGAATACAAAAGTGCCCTTTGTCAGCTAGGAGGGTGGATCACATACACCACTGCCCTACCTACTTAAGCTTAACCAAGAGGATGACTTATGGTCGTTCAGTTGCTCAGTCATGTCCGATTCTGTGACCCCATGGTCTGCAGCACACCAGGCTCCCCTGTCCTTCACGATCTCCCAGAGTTTGCTCAAACTCATATCCATTGAGTCAGTGATGCCATCCCACCACCTCATCCTCTGCCGCCCCCGTCTTCTCTTGCCCTCAATCTTCTCCAGCATCAGGGACTTTTCTAATGAGCTGGCACTTCACATAAGGTGGTCAAAGTATTGGAGCTTCAGCATCAGTCCTTCCAGTGAATATTCAGGATTGATTTCCTTTAGGATAGACTGCTCTGATCTTCTTGCAATCCATGGGACTCTAAACAGTCTTCCTATGGAGGATACTTAAAATGTCCAGTTCAAAAACTTAACTTGAGAAGATAGTCTTTAGAACCAAGGAAAGGATATTTGAGTGGCAAGGAAGCTCTCTCTGGAGCCTGCTAATCAAAATAACTGATTTCAGGGACCAAAGGAATTCTGGGATCCTGAGAAGTGCATTTTGCCGATCTCAGCTTCTGAGAGAGTCTCGTGCCGAAAGGCATGTGTTCTAAGGCATTTTGCTTCCGAGGAAGCTAAGTGTTCTCCCTAGGGTTCGATTGGAGGGAAAGCCTGGTTTGCCCAAAAGTGTGGGGTTTGTGACTCACAAGACTTTCAGCCTGAAAACTAGGAAATTCCTGGGCAACTACAGTGAGGACCTGAGAGTTTGCTCAGATCAGGCCGAGCTCTAGAAACGCTGCAGAAAAAGTTGTTCTAACTGTCCGTTGCCACAATCCTATCACCTCTTAGCAGTTAACTCCATGGCCCCTGGCCTTTCAATCATGATTTTCTATCCCAAGGAATCTCTCATCCGCTTTCTCGGGGTCTTCATATGTTTCACTGTCACCTGGAAATCCACACTCTGAAAAGTGCTTAAATCCCCAAGTAAAAATAGTATTGACACAGACGGCTCTCCTTCTCCCAGTGAATTTACTTCTTGGTCACTGACTACAGACGTTTTGAGTTAACGTGAACATGGCCAGAAAAAAAAAAATTGCAGCTGTCTAATTCTTTGCAGGTTTTATTATATTATATAGGGACTATATCCCATTATAATAAAATGAGTTGGGTTTATTACATGCTAACAACAACAAAAAAAAAATCACAAGTTGGACAGCAATTAGCTTGAATAGACATTTGTTTTATCCTTTTACTAGCAAAGCAATTGTAATTTTATGCTCCAGAAACTCTCATTCTTAAATGTTATGTCTGAGGTAGCTTTGCCAAACTGATGCTAATATTGTTATTAAGTAGATGGTAAATGTGCTCTTGAGGCCTCTTTGCTATAAAGGGCGTGGGGTTTACAGCTAATACGAGTCTAGAGCTCATGTCTGTGCTTGTGTATGTTTTTAAGCTACAGAATAAACTGGCCATTTCTTTCACACGTGAGCCCAGCTTCCAATCTTTCCATCTGTCCATCCCTTCTCAAAATTCTCTTCCTGAGACAGGTTTTATGATGTACATCCCAAGATAGGTAATAAATCAGCTGTTGCACTTTAATAGCTGGCGTTTGGAAGAGCAGTGTAAAGGTTACCCCTGAATACTCACTGGAAGGACTGATGGTTGAAACCGAAGCTCCAGTACTTTGGCCGCCTGATGGGAAGAGCTGTCTCGCTGGAAAAAAACCCTGATGCTGGGAGAGACTGAAGGCAAAAGGAGAAGAGAGGGGCAGAGGATGAGACCGCTAGATGGTATTCCCAACTCAATGGACGTGAGTTTGCGCAAACTGCAGGAGATGGTGGAGGACAGAGGAGCCTGGCGTGCTGCAGTCCGTGGGGCCGCAGAGCCACACGCGTGACTCGGGGACTGAACATCGTGGAGGTCAAGCTTCCAGACCGTAAGCAGAGCCTGCTGGAAGCAGGAGACTGTCACGCGGTCTGATCACTCTCCTGGAAGGCCCAGACACCGTGTGCCGCTGAGAGCAGCTGATGCTTCTCTGCCGCTGAGAGCAGCTGATGCTTCTCTGCCTCTCCTCAGTGACCACGTTAGAACGCCAGGCTGCCCTTGGCAGAGGAGACCCCCGCCACCCTCGATGGCCCGTCTCTTCCTCTGTCCATGGATGACAGCATGCGTCCTTCACGGCCCCGCCCTCGGTGGCCGTGCCCTCTCCACCACCTCCAGCACTACTGACAGGCTCCGAATCCACAGTCAAACTCTGGAACATCTGGTACCTGTCATCAAACACCCCTTACCTTCATACATAGGCGAATGTCCTTTTAGGAACAATAGCAAGAAGAAAGGAAAATGTTAAGGGCCCCATGAAATTATTTTGTCAATCAGTCCCAGGGTGGTTAAATCCAAGATGTGCGTGTCTTAGAGGAAGGTGTTAAAAGCAGCCCTTGATTCATACACTCACACACACTTATACATGCATATATACATATATAGTGATTCAGAGTGAATTTTCTCCAGAATTTCCATTTTTGTCACACATATCAAGTTTGTCTTATCAGAAGTGGTACACCTTCAGGAAAAACCAGAAACACTGTTGTAGCACTCCACTATAAATTCAATTTTTTGCTTGCAAGTATTTTAACTTTGTCCATTTCTAATATGTGGTCTGCAGATGTGTGTCAGAAGGCTGGGATCTCAGAGTAACCATCTAGTCCCTGAAAGAATCTAGCCAACAGCACTGAGAGGTGGGATGAAGGCCTGTTTTCTGGGTTCACAGTATCATATCAGGTATTTTCTGTTTATATTTTATATGGTACAAGGTAGATCATAATTCACCCAGATTTTATCCGTATATGTACATTTTCAATTGCCTCTTTAGTGACAAAATTCTATTTTACTACTTAGTAATTATAGTAAAAATAGTTTAGGCAAGAGTCACCCATTTATCTCTCTCATTCACCTATTCATTTGATTGTCCCCTGACATCCCCTTGGAATACAATATAAATATGGAAATTGATCATTTCCTACTGGGTCTTTAGAAGTATATGAGGTCAAGGGTGCAGTCAGTATTGAAGGGGGTCGAACAAAACTAGAGTTAAGGTATTTGGACCAAAGGGGCAAGTGGCTACCTCTTCTCCCAGAAACAAATCAGACATCAAAGTAAATTCATTCTGAAAAGAACATACACATATCATATGTACACAGCATATTTAAGCACGCCCTAAGAGCTGGTAATCAGGTTCAGCTTTGCACTAAGTTTGATAAAACTTAGTGATATAACTAACGCTGAAATAACTTTTGGTATCAAAAAAGCTGGACTTTGATTTCAGACATGTTACCAAAAGTGTGTGTGTGTGTGTGTGTGTGTGTGTGTGTATGAATGCTGCGTGCTAATTCACCTCAGTCGTGTCTGACTCTTTGCAACCCCATGGACTGTAGCCCACCAGGCTCCTCTGTGGGATTCTCCAGGCAAGAATACTGGAATGGGTCGCCAAGCCCTCCTCCAGGGGATCTTCCCGAAGCAGGGATGGAACCCGCATCTCTTTTATCTCCTGCATTGGCAGGCAGCCTCGTTACTGCTAGTGCCACCTGGGAAGCCCTTTCATCCACACCTCTTTGGATGAAAGATACTGAAAAAGAGAAAAACCTAACAACGTTAACACCATGACTATTTTCTATCCTCTTTAGCATTACTGAGGCCAAACAATCAAACAACTAATTCTGCTGGGAATATATACGCATCATATAAATTTAAATTTAACAAATTCAGGTAGCCAATTTGCTATGCAAATCTGTGTCATTATCGAAATTGATGCACAGTAAAGTTCACGGAGCTGATCTTGTAGGTTCATTATGAGATAAGAGAAGAAAACGGCTGACTGGCCCGTGAAATACAGTGCTGTGTGGTCCCGTCCTGAGAGAGTGCTGGCCTGCTTGCTGTGCGCAGGTCCCCGTCTCTGAGCTGAGTAGGTCCTCCTTGTTAAAATGACAGTCGGGATGATTAACAGCCTCCAGGCACCGGTGCGTACGTCCCACGTACACACCCAGGGCGTTAACCTTCACGCTTCAAGCTGGTCCAGTGAGCACAGAGAGCGCACTGAGGGAAGGAGAGACTATCACTGGGACAGCGGATCTCGGGAGGCTGCCGTCTGCCTCTGGGGAAACGGCTTACTGTAAACGCAGGGTCCTGGAGGCCACCATGTCCGCACCAGCACATTCTGCCGCTGGGGGCTCAGCCGTGTTCTGAAATGATGCTGGCCACAGCGGTCGTTCACAGCGTGTAAGAAACACGGCGCTAAGAGGTAGAAATGATCAGTGATATCATTCGTGCTATTCTGGGGATTTCTCAAGAAGTCACACTCTGGTCAGAAATCTTTTGGTCTCTTCCGTTATTGTAGGCCAATTAGAAAGTGATTTTTTTTTTTCCACTTGGCAATCAGGATGCTGGTCCTCCTTGAGGGAGTTCAGGTGTGCACCTGTAGCCACTGAAGGCAGAAGCCCACTCACCCACTGAGCCAGGCCTCCACCAAGCCCCACTGCTCTGAAACTCTAAGAATATCCACCAACGCAATGGTGCCAAACTGCCAAACAGTCCATCAAGGCACCCCAGGAAGAGTAATCCCCACTTAGAGTAAACCCACCCTTCTGAAAAACCAA